CTCCGCCTCCTCCTCCTCCTCCTCCTCCTCCTCCCTTTCCTCCCCCTCCTCCTCCTCCTCCTCCTCCTCCTCCTCCGCCTCCTCCTCCCCCTCCCCCTCCTTCTCCCCCTTCCCCTCCTCCCCCCCCTCCCCCTCCTCCCCCTCCCCCGCGGGTCGCCTACAGCCGCAGGGGAAGCCGTGCACCCGGACGTGCTCGCGCGGCACAGAAGAATCACGACGAGCGGGCTTCTGCGGTGCTCGTCCTCCGTGGCCCCCCTCGCGGGGCCCTGGGACCGTCCAAGAATGCTCGGGTACTATAGCCTTACGTCGGGCGTGTCCCCCCACAGGGGGATCTTCGACGAAAAATGAAAAGTATTCCCAAAAGAAGCAAAAAGAAACAAAACATCGTAAGGGGATTTGTTGGGGCCTTTTTGTTGACCTTTTTGGTGTATGTTGGGGGTACGTTTTATTTTTCGTCGAAAATCCCCCTGTAGGAGGACAGGCCCGACTTAATATTATAGCCAGGACCCCAGGTCAGGGGATCCAGTTAGTAGTGGGGTCCCGGAGCCCCTATATGTTGACCAGGGTCACTAAAAAACCGGGTCTGCCGTATAGCTGGTGCTTTCCGGGTGGCGGCAGCTCCGGTCAGTTGAACGGGGCTCGGGGGGGGCCTTCCCCAGTACACATCCTTAAACCAGGTCCCACTGAACCCAGTTCTGCCAACGCCCGACCCCTCCCCTCCCCCGGTCACGCCCGGTATCTCGCCAGAAGAGAAAAGACTTGCTCCGACGAGCCATGAGATCCTCCCGGGCATGATCGCGTCGTAAAACAAAAAATCTGGACGGGAGGTTCATGGCCATTCTCGGCCCCGCGGGGGCCCTCGCCAGGCCTCGGGGCCGTCCAAAAACGATTCAGACCGAAAAACCGGTCCCCGTTCTGCAATTGCCGCGAACTTCTTAGGGATGAAGAACGGGTCGGGCCCCGGGAAATTCGGGGGCGGCAAAAAGGGGGGTGATGACTAGCGGGGGGTGGATATCATGGCGTGGGCCATGATATTCCCCCAGATTTCATGGCGCCTCTTGTTATTTCATTGCGTCCCTGGCCCCCCCCCCTTGGGCCGCGCACATGCCGCCGGCCATGATTTGCGCCACCCCCTCTTGGACGCCCACCTCTTGGCCGCCCCCGAGAAATGGGTCGGGACACTTCCAGGGATCCCTGTGCGGCAGGTTCGCGTCGCGTCGCCTCGCCGCGACCCCCGATCTGGCAATCGATACCCAGACATGCGACGTCCTGTTTTTCCAGGACGGCGTCCCTGGAAGTCCCGACCCTTTCCCCGGGACCGTTTTTTGTTCGTCCCGAGTCGGTTTTTGGCGGTCCCAAGGCCCGGCGAGGGCCCCCCCGTGGTCAAAAAAATAGCCGAACACTTCCCGCCCTGATTCCTGTTACGACGCGATCTTTGCTGGGCCGCCGATCGTTCAAGGTTGCACGATCCAGGCGGTGTCGGGAGCCAGCGCGGGCGTCGTCCCGACACGATCCCGCCCCCCGTCCGCCTCGCCCCCACCCCCCCCCCCACCCCCCCCCCCCCCCGCCCCCCCCCCCCCCCCTACCTCTCCCTCCCCTCGCTCCCCCCTCGCCCCCCCCCCCCCCCCTTGCCCCCCCTGCCCCCCCCTAGCCCCCCCCCCCTCGCCCCTCCCTCGCCCCTCCTCGCCCCCCCTCTCCCCCCTGGGGAACAGAGATCAGGGCATCGCACGCCTGGGCGCGGGGGCTTTTGGGGCTATCAGGGGGCCGTGCTCCGACCGGGGCCTCCTCGAGGCCCCAGAGATGCTGCGCGGTGACGGACGCCGCGCGGGGAGGCCCGCTGCGGAGTCGGGCAGGCCCCCCCTGTACAGGAGGAGCGGGCCGAGCGAAAGGGGGGGGATTAGGGAAGGGGGGGTAGGAAGTCTGCCGCATGCAGCTGGTCTCGGCCCCACCGAGGGAACCATTCCTCGATACGTGGCCGCCTCCGGCGCCGGGAGGGGCCGGGAAAATCAGCTACGTGAGCTGGTTCTCACCCCCCCCTTTGCTATCCCCCCCCTCTCGCCCGGCCCGAGAGGAATATCCAGACATAGTCACACAACATAATCTGGGAACGATTTTTGTTCGATTATGTCTTTGAGTATGTGTGCATATGTTTGTTTTGGACATTTTTAGGATGTTCCAACCTACTGTGGCCTTGATCACCAGAAAGAATTGCGAGCGCCAGGAAAAAGTACCGAAACTCGAAGGTTTTCACGTGTCGGGCCTTGGGAGACACTTGCCCGACACTTTTTCGACACTCTTTCGACACTTTTCCGGGTGCTCGAAATCATTTCTGGGATGTGGTCCTTAAGTAGGATGGGAGCAACATAAGACTATTTGTCGGTCTTCGCCCAGAGCGTCCGCCTGCAGGAGGACAATGCCCGACCTAAGAGTCTGCCGGGATGCCGAGGCCACCGCGCCCCAGCCGGACGTGCGATGCCATGCTCCGCTCATGTTGCGGGGCCCCCCGAAGTCCCGACCCCTTCCCCCGAAGCGGGTTTTTCATTCCGGCTCCTCTCTGTTACAGTCCCAAACATGATCGCGTCATAAAAAACAAGGACGGGAGGTTGTTGGCTATTTTCGTGCCCGGGGGGCCCTCGCCGGGCCTGGGGGCCGTCAAAATTCAGGATGAAAAACCGGTCCACGGGAATGGGTCGAGACCTCCAGGGGTCGACATGATGAAAAAAATATGACGTCAGGGGTTTGGGTTACAGTCCTGGGCGGTGACTAGGGGGGGGTGGACGTCATGGCGTGGGCCATGGTATTTCCCTTGATTTCGTGGCGCCTCTTCTTACTTCATTGCGTCCCTGGCCCCCCTCGGGCCGCGCACAGGCCGTCGGCCATGATTTGCCCCCCCCCCCCCCTCGTGGACGCCCCCCTCTGGGCCGCCCCCGATCCTGGGGCCCCGCGAGGGCCGCTGGAGTCTAGAGGCCGGAATCGGTGAAACCTTGAGATCCGACGTTGCAGCCAAAAGGCAACCTCGCAAAATGGCACCAGAGCAAGACCCCAATCAGTGCACATGGTCTTCGATAAATCAGGAGGGGAAGAAACACACAGACACAACTAATCCTCGATTCCCCAGAAAATATAAGAAAATATGGGAAGTGGGGGGAAGACAAAAACCCAGAAAATATGGGGGATATTTTTATTTGTGTGTATTTATTTGTATGTTCTGGGGCCCTTTTCATAAAGGAGATCGAACGGGAACCCGGGACCCAGAACCCACCGAAGTCGGCCCGGAACCAATTGCCAGGAACCCCCGAACCCGGAACCAGGAACCCGGGAACTCAGCGGGCCACCAAAGTCGGCAGCACACTTTCGCCAAATCTTTCAATTTCCGCTGGGACCCCTTCAGTGCAAGCACTGACTGGGGAGCATCGCGACCGGAGCCCCAGACCCCATCTTCCTGCATCGATTCTTCGAGCCCGATCCATCTGCGCGGGCCCCGCGGGGCCCGAAGCTCGGGGCGAAGACGCCCGAGTCGTGTTTCTGGTGCAGTGCTGGGGCCCGGCGAGGCCCCCGAACATTCTGTGTCCCTTAACCGGCCCCCGATCCCCATCCTCAAGCAGTGGCGAAGCGTCCTGGCTCGCCTATCGCCCTGCCAAACAATGTTATGAGAACCTTTTGTGGTTTCCACGACATGTGCTTATAGAACCTTTCTGGTTTAGATTATTTCGTTTTAGCACACCGGGCTTATGTTCTAAAAGCATTGCTTTTGTTATTAGAACATGGCTGGGTTCTAAGAACATTTTGTGGTAGGACTATAGGAATGCTGGGACGGTCGGTCCCTGCTCAACATCCCCATCCCCTTCGAGACCCCCGCCAAGTTAACTACCACCCCAGTTGGGGATACACCTCTCGAAACCCGAAAGGAACCACCCATATCCCCATTTAGGGGGGCAAATCGGCCAGTGAGGCTCAGGCCACGCCGCTGGGGATGGGGATCGGTTAAACGATGCTCAAAAATCGGGGGCAACGATAGGGTGGGAAAGGCATAGGGGGGAAGCATTGACCCCCAATCGCCCATTGAAACGCCGATAGGGACCCGATAGCCCCACCCCGCCCAGGAAGGTGCAAATTCACTATCGGGGGCCTGTCGCCAATCTATCGGCGATGTATCGCCGATTCCAGGTCGATGCATCCCCCCCTAGGCCTATCCTCCCCTCCCAGACCACCGACGTCATGATTTTTTCATTGCGTCGACCCCTGGAGGTCTCGACCCATTCCCCAGAACAGGTTTCTCGTCCTGAGTCGTTTTTTGACGGTCCCGAGGGCCGGGAAGGGCCTCCAGAGGCCGAAAGTAAGGACAAATTTCCCGTCGCGATTTTTTCCTTGCCCGAGGGGGTCTGGCCTATCGTTGCCCCTGCAAAAAAAGGCGAAGCAGGAGCGGTCGTCGCGCTTTTCGCAACTGGCGCCCAGCGCGAGTCTGGGGACGGCCCGCCGTGCTCTCCGGGACCGCGGCGGCCGGCCACGGAGGGGAGCGGGGAGGCAGAGGAGGAGGAGGGAGCGAGGAAGGAGAGGGAAGGAGGGGAGGGGGAGCGAGAAGGAGGGGGGGGAAGGGAGGAGGAGGGGGAGGAGGAGAGGAGGAGGAGGAGGGGGAGGAGGGGGAAGATGGAGGAGGAGGAGGAGGAGGAGGAGGAGGAGGAGGAGGAGGGGAGGAGAGAGAGGGGAGGGGGAGGAGGAGGAGTAGGAGGAGGAAGGAGGGAGGAGGCGGATTCGGAGGCAGAGGCGGAGGCGGCGGCGGCAGCGGCGGCGGTGGCAGCGGCAGTAGCAGCGGCGGCGGCAGCGGCGGCGGCAGGGGAGGCAGGCTGGGAGGCGGGTGGGGAGGGCGGGCGGCGCGGGAGGATCACTTTAATGACCTCGTCGACAAACGTATTGGCATACGCAAAGCTGCATGCATCGAGGGCACACGCGGAGGTACAAGTGCTGATCGCCCCGGGGGTCCACACAGCGGGCAGGATCCGTTACAACCATTACGTGACGGATACGGGCACGCCTCCAAGAACCGCATGTCAGTTACTAGTTCAATTGTACCCATCTGATACCGCACATTATGCTGCCATCACTAAGTGCCTTGGCACCCAGAGAAGTAAGACTAAGTCACGCTGGGCTAAGTCACGCTGGGCATCGATGCTGGGGCGCCTACCACTGGCATGCATAAGAAAGCTATCGTGGCGAAGCTCTTTGGCCAGCAGCACGACACGCTTTCGGAGGAGCACACGCACCTGAAGATACATTTGCACGGGCCAGAACGATTGCGAGCTCACCAAGGAACATACCTCACACTACCACCCCCTCCCCGTGGGTGGCACCAAATACTTCGTGGACCTCATGAACCGGCACGGCGGACCGATCTCGCGGGGATGGTGGGGTACCTTTTGCTCACTTGCTCCGACGAGGTACCTCAAAAAACGCCGCTCACGACGGCTCCTCTACGGGCAATCGAAGCGTGCGCGTGGGTGTTCTGTGGAGGAGGACGACTAGGCCTCAGGAAACCTGTACCCAATGGAGCACATTCTCATAGTCATACGTCGGTGTCCAATTACTGATGCCGTGTACTTTATCGTCAGAATGTAACGTCACTACGTCTGCAACGTTAATGACAAGGGACTCCGTGCACAGCGTTACTAGCAAGGTGCGACGTCTACGGTGTGCACATCTTTCCTGGCTGAGTGGCCCCGCCGCTCTACCAACTTCACTTCATCCCCCTCCTTGACGGCCTCACGTGGCGTAGTAGGAGTGCGTGGGCGTCCTTTATCCTCCTTCCCCCCCCTGAACGGGTTGGGCCCGCCCTGGCCCCAAGCGCGCCCGCGCGCGTCGGGCGCGGGGTGGCATCTTGCGGGATACGCTCGGCAGCGCTGCGAGAGGACGGGGGGGGAGGAACGAGGAGGAAGGGAGGGAACGACATGGAGGAGGGAGCGAACAGGAGGAGGAGGGAGCGAGGAGGAGGGAGGAGGAAGCGAGGAGGAGAGGGTGGGTGGAGCGAGGAGGGAGCGAAGAAGAGGAGACGGTCGTCGAGGAGGAGGACGAGGGACGAGACGAGAGCGCCGCGGCGCGGCGGACCGACAGGCTGCCCAGCCTGCTGGAGCGGCCCGGCGGCCAGGCGGCCCGCCAGGAGGCTGACTGCGTGGAGCCGAGGGCCACAGAGTCGATGCCAGTCGTCGGGGAGGAGGAAAACACCACGCTCGGAGCTCGTTTCGATTCCTCCGGTTCGATTCGATTCGATCCGATGGTTTCCGGTGCCGATTCGGTCCGGCTTCGGATTGCGATTCGGGCTCCGATTCCTTTTTGGAGGCCTACTAGACTGCCGACTTCTGCCGGTTCGACTTCTGCCGACTCGGCTGCCGAGTTCCGCCGATCCGATTCTGCCGATCCGATTCGTGTCGATCGCCGATCAAATTTGTCGATTCGATCTTGGGCTGTCTTGCACGCTTGCCTCGATACGCACGTTTCGACATGCAGCCCGTACCGTGCTCCAAGAGTCCGTGCGAATACCTTGCGTCTTGGTTCAGCAAAGTGGCTCCTTTCTTGGCGAACGTGTCGCGTCAGACCTACGTTTTTGATCTGCGTGTTGCGCTCCGTATCAATGCGCTACGTGTTGCGTGTTGCGTATCGGGCCTCCGGAGAGCCAGCGACACCCGGAAGCCCCGATGCCTCCCTCCCCCCTCGAGAACTGGATGATGGGCCGACTTCCCACCACCACTACCATAGGTAAGGGAGGGATGGAGGGAGGGAGGGAGGGAGGAGGAGGGAGGAGGAGGAGGAGGAGTAGGAGGAGGAGGAGGAGGAGGAGTGAGGGAGGAGGGAGGAGGAGGAGAGGAGGAGGGGAGGAGGAGGGGAGGAGGAAGGGGGCGGGAGGAGGAGGATGGAGGCGAGGGAGGAGGAGGGGGTGGAGCTTCGCATTTGCTCCGGGGCGGCGCCCCTGCCAGAGGGGCTGCTGGAGCCGTGCAGTGGGAGCCCATCTGGCGGTGCCTCGCCTCTCCCCTCCTCCGGCGGTGGCGCGGAGAGCGTCGGCCCGTCCTGTGTGGCAGGAAGCGCCCCACGAGGTGTTCCTGGCTTCCTGGCTTCTTTCCTCTTCCCCTCATCCTCCTCCTCCTCTCCTCCTTTCCTCCTCCCCCCTCCTCCTCCTCCCCTCCTCCCTTCTCCCTCCTCCCTCCTCCTCCTCCCCTCCTCCTCCTCCCTCCTTCTCCTCCCTCCTCTACCCCTCTCTCCTCCTCTCCTCCCTCCTCCTCCTTCCTCTCTCCTCCTTCCTCCTTCTCCTTCCTCCTCCTCCTCCTTCTCCTCCTCGCGGAGCGGAGCGACACGCTATCCACTCACAAGGCATAGCGCGTCGCTGTGGCCGCCGCCGCGACGCGCTAAGCAAAAGTTCCCGACTGCTGAGGGGTTCGGATAATCGCGCCGCATCGCCAATGCATTGGCGATAAGGCGTGATGTGGAGCCCGATGTTCTCAACGACCTCGGCGCCGATGCATCGCCGACGTCGCTGGCGCATTGCCAATGTATCGGCGATACGGCGCGATCCTCCGGTCCCATCTACTCCGACCCAATTGAGGAGGCGTCTAGAAAGAATTCGGTGATCCGAGCGTTGCTATTTTTTCACTGCCTTGACCTCTCTCTCTCTCTCTCTTTCTTTCGTTGACTTGGCAGCAACACCTGGGGGCCTGGTATTCATGTCAGCACGCGCAGAGACAGACGGGTTCAGGGCTCTGGCCTTTATTTTCACGATGGGGGGTTGCCAAAGGTGCCCCTGGCCCAAGGTGCCCCCAGCTTTCCTCGCTCAATGCTTGGAGCCGCTGGGGCCGGGGCCTCGTGGGGAGTGCTCGGGAGGTCGGGGGGGGACCTCCTTGGAAACCCTGGGGGCACCTCAGGCCAGGGGCACTTCTAGCATGAAGTCGGGCGCGTCCCTCTACAAGAGGAGGATCCAGACATAGTTTTAAACATAGTCTGAGGCGATGTTTTTTGTTCGAAATATGTTTTTTAATACTACTTTGAGCATTTTCTAACATTCTTAATTTTTCGTCCAAGCTCCGCCTGTAGGAGGACACGCCCGACCTAGTTCCAGTAGCGCCCGAACGACGCTGCCCTTTTTTTCGTGACGTCGCTTCCCAGGGGAGCGGCACGAACGTGACTCGTCGAGGGCCCGCGCGGATGTTCTTGGACCTGCCGCCTGGCCGCCCTGCCATACACGAGCATACTCCTCCTCCTCCTCCTCCTCCTCCTCCTCCTCCTCCTCCTCCTCCTCCTCCTCCTCCTCCTCCTCCCTCCTCCTCCTCCTCCTCCCCTCCTCCTCCTCCTCCCTCCTCTCCTCCTCCCCCCCTCCCCCTTCTCCTCCCTCCTCCTCCTCCTCCTCCTCCTCCTCCTCCTCCTCCTCCTCCTCCCCCTCTGCCCCCTCCTCCTCCTCCTCCTCCTCCTCCTCCTCCTCCAGCCTCTGGCGCCGCCTCTGGAGCGCTCCACGCACTGGGGAGAGGTGTGCACCGCCGATTCCAGACATCTGCGCGGGCCTGCGACGGTTGACGTTCACGGACGCCTGTGTTTTTGGTCTCCTCTAGGTCGGCTGCCAGAAGCTGCGGCGCTCTGTCGCGACGCGCAGGACCATGCCTAGCCCAGGCACCCCGGACACGGGCACCCAGTCCGTGTCCGTGCCGGTGGCGGCTATCCGCGCCAGGACCAAGCCAGAGGCGGTTTTCGCTCCGCAGGTCCTACCTCTGCTGGAACCTTCAAGGCCAGCCTTGCTTGAGGGCGTGGTCGAGATGCACAACTGTGCTAAAGAGATGGGTATCCCGATGGACACCATGCGGAGTGCCGTCAGCTTGTTCAAGAATCATGCGACGGCCCTACGCGAAGGCAATTTGTTGACAGATGGGTACCTAACTAAGAGCAGTTTCGTGTCTCTCGTCAAGCAGATGCTGAACGAAACTGGTGTGCGTCACGATGCTGTCGAAGAGGCAAGCGTGATAGATCGTTTTGTTGGTACTTTCATGTCCGCTGAACAAGACTGCAAGGGAGTGATGAACTTCCGAGACTTCGCCATCTGGTACAGCAGTCATTGTTTCGACGAGAATTTCTTGGACGCGAAGGAGCAGGCGATGCGCAAGCTCAGCCGCAAGTTGGGAGTCTCCCCCACAGAAATTGATAACTACAAGAGGCACTTCGACATTGTGGATGCAGACGGCAGTGGCGAGATAGACGCCGAGGAGTTCTTGGCGATGCTGTACAAGTTCACTAAGGTCAAGAAATTAAACAGCTGCATCACCATAAACGTTCGGAAGTCCGCGTGGATTTCGTGGATCGCCGCTGTGCCCTCCTCCCTGGCGCGCTGAGCGTGCCAGGGGCGGCGTCGGAGGCGCCGCCAGGGGATTCATCGCCGATCCAAGAAATCCGCGCGGATCTCCGAATGTAAATGTTTATGCAATGTCTCCCTCCTTTTGAAGGTGCCCAAAGACATCGGCCTGCCGCGCAAGTACGTCAACGACATGTTCAGAGCCGCGGACACGAACTGCGACGGGTCAATCGACTTCGAGGACTTCGTGGTTTTCTCCCAGAAGTTTCTCTAGCGCTCCGGAGGAGGAGGAGCAGATCGATCGAATCTCCTCGGTCGAGCGATTTGTTTGTAGCATTTCTTCGCTAGTTTTGATTTCCTGTGGAAGGGGGGAGCGCGAGAGCACCAGATACAGCCAGGGCGCTGAGATAGCACTGATTTCGGCCAGCATTGCTCCCCTAGGGCTGACCCATCACCGATTGAGAAAAACTGTGTAAACATATATTTTCGCAGGTTGTCAATGCCGAGTTGATGAGAAACAAAAAACATATGTGTACATGCACTTGTGCTGCACCACCAACCCAAAACCAGGGACTGACCCTAAGCACGCCTGTAGCAGCCATCGAGTTGGTTTGGGAACCACGGATCTGATATGATGCTAGGCAACAGAGAAGTAGACACGTTGCGCTCGCGAAACGCGCGCGATAATTCTAGTATATCTCTCTGCGCTTTCTGTGCGATTTGCGAACCGTGCATAAGCTGAGCGCTGCCGTGCACAGGCTCGCCGATTACATGTTAATTGTGTTGCCAATTCGTTTTTTTGTGTTCAGCGAGCACAGTGACTCCTCAAGACTGCTGCCCGTGGAATCCCAGTGATTCTCCAAGCGTGAAGACGCCTGCGGCCCAGTGCTCCCAGCGCAGCTTAGATGGCTAATATGGCTTCGTCTTGCTGCACGCCGGGTGCATGAACATAGCGGTCAGGGCTTCACACGCCTGGCGGGTAGTTTCTGCAGGCCGTGTTGAGAGTCATGTCAGTCAGTGCTTGGATAGGAAGAAGTTGCTCGTTGATGGATCGTGTGATGCTTGGGGGAGCATGGGTACGAGCAGGGCTGGACCTAAACGCTGTTTTGCTGGACTTCGGCTTTGGCAGGGAGGTACAGGAAAACAGGTAGAGCAAAACGAACAACACAACGAAACCAAAACGAAACACAACGTTAGGTCCAGCCACGGTACGAGGGTGCGCTCCCGAGTCTCTTTGCTCCTGGCATGTGCTCTGTCGGGGGGACCCTTGGCCCGCACTGCGGTCAAGCCGGGAACCTGTAGCGATTACCGTTGACGTCAGGGCTTCCGGGAGGAAGAGGACGAGGAGGAGGAGAAGAAGGAGGTGGAGGAGGAGAAGAAGAAGAAGGTGGATGAGGAAAAAGGGGTGCTGGAGGATGCCCCCCAGCTGTATGAACGGCACCGCGGGACTCCCCAGCTGCTCACCGCGGTGGTGCTGCAAGCCATGTCTTCGATTGCGGCTCGCGACATGTTGGTCTCTGGTCTGATTGCGCTGGGCCCTGTGCTCGGGACGCTGGAGCTGCCAGGAGAAGCGGCAGCACAGTGCCCCCCCGATGATTCTGCCTCGAAGACGGCGCTCTTTCTTGTTCGCCTCGAGGTTTCACACGTATGAGCCGCCTCGAATCGAGCGCGGTTTCTTAATCTTTCGTTAGCAGTTCGGCCGCGGTTTTCCGCGGCGGTGCACCTGTGCTCAGGCCTCCTCTTCTCGCACCTCCTCGACCTCTGGGCTCCCCGCGTCAGCGCACAGTGCCATCTTTATTGCCAACGGGCTTTCCTGCCTGTGCGTGCGCATGGTTTTTTCGCTTGTCTCAGCGAGCAGCCGCTGACGACGGGCCGTGACGGCGTGAGTGTGTTAGCGTGGTTGCGTGCAACATCGTCAGTGCACGGTCCCGCTGGACTATGGGAGAGTGGCAGGTCCGTTTGTGCCGCGTTACCGAGGTGCCAGTGGTGACGGATTCGGTGCGGGCATGTCTTGCGGCCGGATGAAAATGGGACGTCCTCGTATGATCGTCCGCGTCGCAATGTTTGTCTTCTGATTAACTACGGCAGCCATGAAAGGGTTGTACCTTCTCGTTCTCTTTGTCGATCTCTTTCTCTCTCTCGCCCCCTTGAAACGGCCCAATGCCAAGCTCGAGCCTCCACCCAAGATGATATTCACGACCTGGATTTGTTTCCAGGTCAACCGCTCGGGTCCACTTGGCGCAACTGGTCGACACTAGCTCGACTCTAGCTCGACTCGAGTGCGACTCAGGTTTGTCTCAAGTCGACGGGCGGTCGACGCATCATCGACGCTCCAAGAAGGTCCCCAGACCGTGCATCTATCAGGAGGGGAACAAACACACAGACACAATTAATCGTCGACTCCCAGGAACATATTAAAAACATATGGGAAGTTGGGGGGGAGACGAACACCCAGAAAATATGAGCAAATATAGGGACTATGTTTTATTTGTGTGTATTTATTTGTGTGTCCCAGGGCCCCTTCGATCTAACTTTTGCGGTACGTCGAGGATGCTTCCCTGCTGCGTGCGGAGTGCAGCCTCGGAGCCAGGGACGGCCCGCGCAGCCCGCCCCCCCCTCCCCGCACCTCTCTTGCGGCACGGGGGTCTCGGTGTTCCGTTGCGTGGCCGATCGTCGTTCTCGAGGAGGGGGGGGGTTCTGGAGTGTGCGGCCGCTGGGCCCGTTCTTCGTCGCTCTTGTTGTGCCTGTGCCTGCTTCCTCCTCCTTGGGGTTCGCTTGTAGCGTGGGGTGCGTCCTCCTCGCGTCTTCGGTTGTTCTCCGAGCTCCTTTGCGCGAGTCTCTCCCTTCTCCTCTCCCTTCTCCTCCTCCTCCTCCTCCTCCTCCTCCTCCTCCTCCTCCTCCTCCTCCTCCTCCCCCTCCTCTTCCTCTTTCCCCACCTCCTCCTCGTCCTCCTCCTCTTCCTCCTCCTCCAAGGCTACTTTAACTCCTCCTCCACTTCCTCCTCCTCCTCCACCACCTCCTTCTCCTCCTCCTACTCCTCCACTTCCCCCACGTCCACCTCCTCCTCCCATGGGCGATTGACGTACTGATTCCTCTGATGGTGGGTCTGATGTCCTCCGGTGTCGGGGGGGAGAAAACAAGGAACAAATACTTTAACGTTTTTGTTCCTCCCCCCCAAACACAAGGTATCTTGACTAAGGGAAAGGAGTCCATATTCAGGGCCCCATTATTGAAGGTACCCGTATCAAGAAGTCCTCATTGAAGGACGTAGTCTTGAATGGCCTTCGGCCCATGCCGCCACCGTGCTTGGGTTGTGGGTGTGAAGCCTATTGGATGTTCGTTGGGATCTCGTGCGAGGCCCCTGGGGGGCCCCTTTGGGGGCAGTTACATGAGGCCTCTTGGAGGCCATTTGGGGGCCTCTTGTGGGCCTCTTGGGGGCCTCTGGGGGCATCTGGGGGGTCTCTTGGGGTTCTCTGGGGGGCATCGTGAGGCCTCTTGGACATCTCTTGGGGCCGTCTGAGGATCTCTTGGGGCGGAAGGTTCGGATTTTCGGTTTGTCTTGGGGGCCTCTTGGGCCATCTTGGAGCGTCGGAAAGCCGAAAAGGCGAGAGCGCCAAAATCCTTTTAAAAACCTTCGGGAGATCAATGATTGTTGCCTCTTGGGGGCCCTCTCGGGAGGCCTCTTGCAGGCCTCTTGGGGCGTCTTGGAGGCCTTCTGGGCCATCTCAAGACCATCTTGGGCGTCTTGGAGAAATGCTCGGGGTCCTCTTGGATGGTCTTGGGGGCCTCGTGAGGCCCTCACTGGCCCGTCCTGAGGCCCGTCACAAAAGTCACGCGGGGGGGGGGAGACGCGACGAGGCCCCGACCAGAGGCAAGGAGCCCCGAACGATGTTGCCACCTGGGCTCCAGACCCCTCAAAGCCTCCTCCTCCTCCGCCTCCTCCTCCTGCTCCTCCTCCTCCTTCTCCTACTCCTCCTCCTCATCATCTTCCTCCTCTTCCTCCTCCTCCACCTCCTCGTTCGCCTCATCGTCCTCCTGCTCCTCCTCCTCCTCCTCCTCCTCCTCCTGATTGGGGATCAGGGGATTGGGAAAAGGACCTGAGGACACGCTCACTCCGTGCCCGTCGGCACGGTGGCGGTTTCAGAAGTCTATGTTCCCGAGGGTCTTGGCAAGGGGCTCGTTGCGACAGCGTTCGCCACGAGCGAAGGACACCTCAATCAAAGCATGCTTACTAGAGTCACCATTATTAGATGCATCTTGACTCAGGACCCCGCGACCGTATTCAGGAACCCGCACGAAAGGGTGTCGCAATGAGTCCTTGCTACAGGGGAGTTTACCGAGGTGACTCTTGCTGCAGGCATCCCCGCTAAGGGGGCATGGCTAAACGCATCAATCATATGGAACCCTTACTAGAGGCATCCTCATTAAGGAAACCTTGCTAAAGGACACGTTGGCAATGATTCCTCACTACATGGGGCTTTGCCCAGGGGATCCTTACTACAGGCATCCGCGCGAATGGGTTCCTCACCAACAGGATTCTTAACGGCATCCTTCCAAACGGGTGCTGTACACATGCGTCCCCACCATTGGTTTCTTTCCAAACTAACGGGGTCTCACTAAGGATCTCATAGGCCTTTTGATAACAAGGCATCCGTACTAACGAATGCTTGCTGGGCTAAAGGCATCCATATTGGGGTCTCCTTGGCAAGTGTAGTAGTCGAGAGCCCTTACCGTAGGGATCCTCACTGACCGGCTCCTTACCAAAGGCATCCTCATTGAGGGTGGCTCACTCAAAGCTTCCGTATTTCGAACCCCTTACAGTCAACCCGCATGGTAAGGATAGGTCCCTTTCTCAGGGGTACCCTTTCATCTCTCCCTCCTTGGCCAATCCTTGGCCACTTTCGTTGGCCGCACCCCGCTCGAAAATCTTCGAAATAGATGTTCAAGGCCCGTGCATCCTTATCGCGCATCCCTATGATACAGGACTATACTACACGCAACCGTTGTTAGCAACCTTTGTTAACGGAAGCGTGGGCAATGTACCCTTACTACAGGACCCTTTATTGAGGGGATCTCCATTAAAGACACCCTGGATAAGGATTCCTCATTCGAGGGGTCCTTAGTAAGGGTTCCTGGAACAAGTCACCTTTACTGACGAATGCGTACACCAAGCGCCCGCACGAAGGATCCCTCACTGACGGGGTCGTTCCTCAGGGTTCCGTGGCGCAGGCATCCGTTCTGATGAACGTTTACTCAAGAGGTCCTGACTAAGGACCCCTTCAAGCAAAGGAATGCTTACCAAGGGCCCCTTACGACAGGCACTCGTATTAAGGATCTTTAGCAGTGGCCCCAGTGGATGGAGGCTCTCGCATGGCGTCCCATCAGGGTTGTATTGGTTGAGTTTCGCGTGAAATTGAAAGCTTCGAGGGAGAGAGGGAGAGACAGAGAGGGAGACAGAGAGAAAGAGAGAGAGAGAGAGGGAAAGGGAGAGAGAAAGAGAGAGAGAGAGAGAGAGCGAGAGGGAGAGAAAATAAACATAAAGAGAGCGAGAGAGGGAGATACAGCGATCATTCCCTCCTGCCACTTCCCCCCCTTCTTGCTGTGCGTTGTGCGATGGAGCAGCCAGGCCCTTCTGCCGTTTTCCCTGCCTACGGACCCGTTACCAAAGGACTCCTTATTCAGGATGTCTTACAACAACTACTCTTATGAAGGATCCCATGACGGACGCCATCCTGATTCATTAACTTTTTTGTAAGATCGGCGTGGGCCCTCGACCCCCCCTTGGAGTAGATCCTGGCTGTTTTTTGGCGCCTGTTTCGAGCGGGTGGGGCCACCCCGAGAGTCCGCACGCTTGCACCCAGTTGCACTGAGCAGAGGTCCGGAGCCAGACACACACACCCGCTTCCGCCCAATGTCGAAACGCCGAATAAAAAACGCTCACATTATCATGCGGGGTCCTGCCGACGGCGTAACCGTGCATCATTTCCCGCCCCCCCCCCCTTTGGGTGGTGACGGATGGCAGGCGGCGGGGGTTGGCGGGTTGGTTGGATGCCGGGGTGGTTGATGTGGTGGTTGGCGGGTTTGTTAGTTGGGCTGGTTGAATTGGGCTGGATAGGGCAATTGGTTTCGATGTCCATACCTATACGACGGGTGGTAAGAGGTTTGGGGGGAATAAGAAACCAACGTTTCATTCAATCCGTCTCACTATCGATCTCACTATCGATCCCACCAATGATCGCACAAACGATTTCACGATCGATTTCACAGTCGATCTCACGATCCACATCACAATCGATCCCCCTTATGTACTTCATTGTCTGTCTAACAGTCGGCCTCACGATCGCCCTCACGCTCGTTCTCACTCTAGATCTTATTACGGATCTCACTATCGATCACGCTCTCAATCACATTATCGATCCCACATCCATACCATTATCAATATCATTATCGATCTCACGATCGGTATCACTATCGATATCACGATCAATCTCACTACCGACTCCACTACCGATGTCACGATTGATTTCACCGTCGATCTCATGATTGATCTCACAATCGATCTCACGATCGGTCTTACTATCGGTCTGACGATGTATCGATCATACGATCGATCTCACTAACAATCCCACCATCGATCTTACTGTCTATCTCACGGAACACCACCAGGACACCAGCGGGACACCAATCGAGACACCGCGGGACACCACAGGACACCATCGGGACACCATCGGGACACCACGGCGGGACACCGCGGGATACCATCGGGATACCACGGGGACACTACAGGACACTGTCACGGCACTCCGCGAGACAACGAGGGACATTTGGGGACGCCACGGGACACCACGGGACATTGTCGGGACACCACGGCGGGACACCGCGGGATACCATCGGGATACCACGGGGACATACAGGACACTGTCACGGCACTCCGCGGGACAACGAGGGACACTTGGGGACGCCACGGGACACCACGGGACATTGTCGGGACACCACGGCGGGACACCGCGGGACACCATCGACACACCACCA